AAATATTAATAGCCTAGTATAAAACAAATACATTTTACAAGTTTTATTAAGACATATCTATAAACAAACAAACAAAATCATTTTACACTATTCTCCTAAAGAATAAGATGGAATTTTAAATTTACAATTTTTGAGCTTTATTCGTAACTAATACACTTACAAAACACGTTAATACACTAAATTATTTGTTTTCTTTAAGCTCTTTAAATGCTCTAGAGAAAAATTGGGAAACTTTGTGTTTTGAGGGTCAAAGATTACAAATTTATACCACATAAAACCCTGTTCCAAGGATCGATTATGCCGGTTTCGTTAAAATTGAACCAAAATTACTCGAGTTATCATGTTTACGGACACGTATATAACATGGATATATTATATTATATATATGTATATAAACACATATATAATATTTTGAGTGGATGGTGCTTTTAGATTTCTGGGGGCATCGAAATAAAAACGTAAATCGGTTTCGGGTCTATGTTTTACCATAAGAACTTCGGTACAGTAAGAGCTTATTTGGGATGTTCGCTAAAAGGGGATGGATTAAGTTTTACACTATAACATAATAACATAGGTTACTAAGCAAACATTTCAACTTTAAAGGTGGTGTGAATAATCTTTCAACGTGTTTTTATGCAAATCTATTAAGACCAATTTCAAATTGATATAAACCTTTCTTAGGTAGCTATTTAAGTTATTTTTTTACATTTATTAAAAATTAAAACAATTTTATTTGTATAAAACCTTACATTACATGTTAAAATGAAGTACTTAAACTAAAGCTATTTTTCTACAATTTCCGTAGTAGCCTATCTCTCTTTACAATTCCATCATCACAATAATTATTCTCAGACGACTCATTAAAAATTTTATTATTCTTAGCAACTTGTCCATATTTACTGATTTAGTCCGAGTTGGTTGACACGTACGATGCTAATCAAGAAGTTATTCCGAGTTGGTGTTCAAGCAGGATTCCCCTTTACAAACCTGAAACCTTGCATATTGCAGAACAGGCAACACCGATCTTAAAGCACGAACAATGTGGTCATACATACTGACGTTTGCAACTTGTATCTTAAGTTCCTCAAACTTATTTTCAATCAATACAAGTGCGGTTATCTTTCGTGGTTATGACGACCAGGACAGCACTAAGACATCAGAGCAGCATTGCCGGTACGTGCATTTTTGTCCTGAACAATGGGAACGAGGTTTATGGGGTAAAAATTGGGTTTTCTTATTTACTTTATCCTCAAAACACAAAGTTTCCCAATTTTTCTCTAGAACATTTCAAATAGCTTAAAAACAAATAATTTAGTATATTAACGTGTTTTTGTATGGTTATTAGTTACGGATAAAATACTAAAATTGTAAATTTAAAATTCCCATGTTATTCTTATGTAGAATAGTGTAAAATGATTTTGTTTGTTTGTAATAGATATATTTTGATCAAACTTGTTAAATTTATTTGTTTTATACAAGGCTATTAATATTTTACTATAAACACACTTTATTAGCCTCCTTGTAACAGCAAACCAAGGTAATCGTTAAACGCAATGCTACTTTAGATTTAATTGAAAATCAATTAAGTAAAACGTAAATTCGTAGGTCTGCAGGTTTGCTGTGACGGGGGTATTTAATATTTTCTCTTACTCCTTGTAATCCTTTCCTTACGTAGTAAAGAATTACAATTATTTTCAATAATCCCCTTTTAGAGCATGGAGGTAACTAATTTTATTACTTTATGAATTAATGTTTAAATATTGTAAAAAGTAATAATCTTTCGAAACACCCTGTATGGAGTGGTTTAATACACTTAAAACTAGTGCCAATCGATTCAAAATAACTAAAACCATCGAAAACCACATCTCACTCGTCCGTAAACGTAAAAAGAAAATTATTCAGGAACAAGGGCCCTTCGGAACAAAAAGGGCCCCAAAAAGGGCCTTAGGACGCCCAAAATTTTGGGGACTCATCGGATCTTCATTTCTCATATTATTAGTAACTCACAGGTGAAATTTCATGAATGTACAAATTTTGTTGTTTATAAAACGCTATTTTACCTGTACTACACCGTCCTTGGACCTTAAGCTTTAAAATTAATCCTCAACAGCCATGCTACCTTTATCCTAGCTCGAGATATTTCGTGGGGACCGATTCGCTTACGGAATAAAATATGTAGATTATAACAAATCAAGATTTATGAAAAAGAAAGTGATAAATGCCGACAATGTTCCAACAAGATACAAATACAAATACCAACAAGATATCTTGTGTGGTAAAATTGTTGTCATTTTTTGCCGCAAATATGCGAAAAAGATAAATTTTCATAGTTGTGAACCAATTAACAAGTTTCTCCAGACATAAAAAACATAAATTGTTTAAAATATTTTAGAGTGCCTTGCAATATTAATGAACAGTTTTTTTTTTGTTTCTCAAAGAACGTAAAGATTTAAGAACGTAGCAGAAACAGAACTCTTTTTTATGATGCCATGTCCAACTAAATACTCATAAAATTACAAACTACTGTATTACTTCGTACCATTTGTAGGTTAGAACCCTACTTTTCTAATTAGATAGATTGTAACTGTGTTTACAGTGTGTAATTCCAAATGAGATATAAATACAACTTGTTTATCTGGGACAGTTTTATAGGTTACCTCTCCGAAGCAATGTACAGACAAAACATTAACCTAGCCTTACTCACTACTTGTTACTGGACAAATATAGCCCTTCATACCCTACATGACTGCATTGGATACTCACTACACAACCCAAGATTTGATTATTTTAAACGTGTTCATGTTAAGTGCAATAATACCACCCCATTAATACCCAATAAATACAATTATTGACCCAATCGATATACACCGCGCTTCTTGTTTACATCGTCAATCCTTTCTAAAAGAAAGATAATACAGTATTACTTAAATTTTGTTGTGGTTAAACATAACAATCAATTAAAACACTGTTGCTTGTTTTTTGTTATTGTAATGAAAGAGCAAAGAGTAAATAAAACGCATTTAGTCAACACCAGCGAACCAAAACTTTACACACATAAGAACAGACTTCAGAATTTAAATTATGATAAGAAGTTAACCTACCGCATCCAGAGTCAAATGTAGTAGTCAGTCATACGTGATAGATCAGGTTTGTAATCGTCATAAACTTTGTTTTCACAACACTACGATGTTTTTAGCCGTTAATTGGAGGCTGAAAGCTGCCCATGCCAGCTGTCATCGTCGTTTGGGGACCGAGTAAATCTTTGTGGGCCTAGGGCCGAAAATCAGCTGTTCGCTTAAAACATTTATGTATTAATACACAAGCTGTTTCCATATGCATTGCAATTGACTTATTTTATTTTCACCGCTGTTTAGCAACTATGTATTATTATTTTTGCTGATTCCTCTAAACATTTCTTCTCATAACCTAAAGTTGCAGTTGTGTTACTGATAGTGTGTATTTTGTACTATATATTTTCTCAATTTTGTATAGTGTGGTGAAAAATAGCGTTCGTACCACAAACCGAAAGGGTTTTGCAGCTCTTGATCGTTTTAAGTTCTCGTCTACGTTTAGAACTTAAAACATGATCTCGAGCCGGCAAACCCTCATTTTCGGCCCTATGTACGAAATATGCTATTTAACAAATCATAAGTCAATTTAATCAACAAGAATTCTATTTTTTCTAGTTTTTTTTTACCAGAATTACACACCAACAACACATAAAAAAACACATAACACCCATATGTTTCTGACACATCATATGTTTTACACATTAGTGTTGCCTTGTGTGTAATTGTGTGTTTGCCATTAGCAACAAAAGCATCACGTAAGCCAACTTTCGTTAACGTATTATTTGTAACCTCTCTCAGAGAAGGTTTAGCCGAGACTTGAAGCAACAATGCTGTAGTTGGCCTCTTGAGGTGTCGACAGCCGTTGGGCTCCACGCTAGAATTGCTCTTCAAGTCTTCCTCATTAGTAACATCTCTAACTAATGGTTCTCAAAACTGTCATCCTGAGAATCGTCTTTTAAAATTAAAACTATTTTAATTCTCAACTAGCCCATTCTTCACATAATAATTAGATCATCAGAGAAGTAAGACATATTACTTCTCTTACTTATCTTTATCTTACTTCTGTGGTAGATCTCACATTACAACGCAATGCTTTTTAATAGGTATTCGAAAAAGAATACTGGATCGGGAACGACTTATTTTAATTTGGCAAAGTTTCAATAGAGCCCAAAACTACTCTAACATTACCGTCCGACATAACTGATATAAATTTGTAAATGTTTACGGCATCAATTGAATCCAGTAATAAAACAGAGCCGCCACGCAAAACACGTCTATTAATTGTCATATCATTGGCAAAGTAAAAAATGATTAAATAAAACTCTTCACTTTCGTAGTGATGCAATTTGTGTCTTTTAATTGTGGTGTATGGAATACAATTTTTAGTGAATTTCCTATATAGGAAATAAGCTATTACTTAACGTGGAACTGTTATTGAATTAGCTTGATCTTATCACAATATACAAGTGTTATAATTACGTATTTTGTGAAAAAACTCAAAGTCAAATTGATAAATATTCAAATGGTATAACCAACTACAGTATAAGCTAATGTTATGTCTTTAACGATAAACACAAATTAATAATATAGAATAACGTGATAACCACAAAAGACAAACCCGTTGAAACTAAAATATTCTTCGTTGTATCATATATCAAACGTGTTTGTTAGTCTATGGTTGTATGGTGTAATACAAAACCAGCTGAAGTCACGATAAAAATGAAATACCTGAATAATATATAAAATGTAAATATTATAATACCAGATGATCGGATAACCTAACAAAATAGTTAAAAACATAATTTAAGTTTACAAAGGTTCCAAGCCAACACTGAAACTTCCACAATGTTCAAGTTAAATTCTGCAGCGAACATGGCAATGAGTATATGTTTTAAACATTATAGTGCGAGATTCAGCAGAAGCCGTCTTATGTCACAACTTGTAGAGGTCGGCAAGTTAGAAACACCCAACACGCCTTGTTACCAAGCGGGACAGTTGTTTATTCACAAACTGTTCGCTTATCGCGGAGTCATAGTTCTTCCCTGCATAGGACAAGTGTTTGATCTGGATGTGAACGGCAACTCTGGAGATACACACTTCAACATGGAGCGACTGGGTGGCAAGGACGTGAAATGCTACACAAAAAACTACTACGAAGCTCTTATAGACATGCGGGACCGCCCGTTCTGTAGAATTGTGAACGAAATGGCAATTCCTAAACACGCAGCTTCAAAGAACGACAAAAGGTTGATGTCTTGCCCCGGCTTGGACCACTTGTCTCACGATGATATTATACCTTACAAAGCTACGGAGCAAGTTCCCTTCAGACACGAGATGCTCGGGGAGTTCTTCGACTACACTCCTGCAAACGAAATCTGTTTCGAGCCTAAAGACGTCCTCAAATCCAGTCTTGGCGTAAACGCAGCTTTTAATATGAAAATCGATGTTTATAAAAGAACTAATGACAATGTGAAGATAACGGTGATACCGACATATCTTGGTTACCGAAACACAGAAAGTACGACGACGTACTCGTGGAATTATTCGGTGCAGCTAGAAAACATGTCGGACTCATCGATCAGAATCTTGAAACAGAACTGGAAAGTCACAAGTCTACACGAGACCACGGACGAAGTGTTTTGTAGAGGTGTGATGGGAGAAGAAGTGACCATAGACTCTCGTGCGCCAGTGTTTAAATTCATCAGTAACGTCAATCTGCCCACACCGTTTGGACACATGATTGGCAATTTCAAAATAGAGAAGCAAGATCTCACAAAATGTCTGTGCCCTTCTCCTCTATTTCTGCTTAAGAGTTGTCTAGAGGTTTTGTAAGAAAAATTTGTTATTGAATAATCAGTGATTTTAAATGTAAACTGTTTTTCGGGTTTCGCTCAAAATAAAAACTTAAACATTTCTTTTAAAGTTTAGTTAACATCTGAGGAAGCAAAACCTAATCGTATTTTTTTATTAACTAGTCAAAATTGTCAAACTGAACTCCTATTAAATATCATGTGTGGTTGTGAATTTGATTAATAATTTAGTTCGTAGGATGAGCTTGTCCAGGGATCATTGATAACACAGTCAGAAGCCTACTATAAGCTCAGCAGGAGACAGCCTCATTGGCACTTCATTGTGGATCCTTGTCGTTATGTGTCAGTATTGTTGCCTTCATCATTAATTTTGGCCTGATACTCTAACCATGGGTCAAAAGTCATAGCCTCTATAACTGTGTTATCTAACTTTAAGCTATTAAGAATATGAGAAACTATGCTAGTACAGCTATAAGCCACATGTATTAGTTTCGACCGACTCATGTAAAATGCATACATTTTCTTATTTTATGATACAAAACTACTACAATTGTTTTATAAAACTACTATAACACAAATTCCATAAAGCTCTGCCAGAACAGATATTTGTTTTTTACAAAGCCTACTTTACTTTACTTTTTCTATGAAATGGCGACATATCTGCTTGAGCGTATGACTGAAGGGTAAGTTATTGTTGTTAATGTTTATTTCACGTGCAATATTTTTTACGGTTCTACAACTATAATCACTAGATATAAAACAGTTCAATATTAGAGCACCCGCAGTTCACGATTGTCAACAACTGATATAATTATTTTTACTAGTCATAGACAGTTAGGGCAAAGCCCTTGTTCGTGTACAACACATTATGTGCAATACAGGGTGATTGATGTAAGTGTGCCAGCCGTTTTATTCAAAAACTATAAGATATATCAAAAAAAGTTAAATGGTAAGTGCCTTGGATTTTGTATTTAAAAAATTTTAGTCAAGTAAAAAAAAATTATTTTAGCCGCCATTTTTCCAATATGGCCGCCAACTTGGATTTTTCTTATAGAACACCCTGCATGACGTATTCCGGTAGAAAATGGAATTTTAAGACGATTTTATTCTTGTGATTTTTTCATAAAACCTAACCGTTTCAAAGATAATAATGGTTAAAGTTTTGAAATTTCTGCATGAGTAAGAGTTTTGATAAAGGCCTAAGCAAGCATGCCAGCTGTTTTATTCGAAAACTATTCGAAATTTCACAACTTAAGCCATTATTATATTTGACACGGTTAGGCTTATGAAAAAAATTACAAGAATAAAATCGTCTTAAAATTCCATTTTCTACCGGAATACATCATAAAATACAGGGTGTTCCATAAGAAAAATCAAAGTTGGCGGCCATATTGGAAAAATGGCGGCTAAAATATTTTTTTCGACTTAACTACAATTAAAAAAAAAAACCCAAGGCACTTTACCTTTTAACTTTTTTTTATATCTCTTATGGTTTTCGAATAAAACGGCTGGCACACTTATATCAATCACCCTGTATACATTGTAACAATTATACGGCAGTTGTCGACGTCACATGGACTATGGCGTTCAATTGCAACAGTAACACTACAGTTGCATTCAATAATATAACGAGATTAATTGCTAATTAGGTTGGTAGTGACAGCTGCTCCACCCAACACGCCTCTTCAACGCTTTATTTTCACGCAGTTTAATTAGAGCCATTATTTGTAACAATATTCGAGTTCAGAGCGAGAAGAAATGTAATTTCAAAGCTTGCGAGTGAAACATTGATGGCGTACTGTATTTTAGGTGCTGATATTAAGACAAGCAATTCTATCAGAACATTTTATTATTTTACCGTGCAGACAATTTTTAAAGTAAATGTCTCTCGTGCGATGACTAACTAACACTCACGAATACTAGAAATACCAGGTCTTTTCTAGTATTCTTGCCAACAATTTTCAAATGTATTTGCTATCAAAATATTTCATTTGTTCTTATAAGATTATTTAATGTCAATTTAAATTGCGTTTAATTGACGTGGACCAGTTTATTGGAATCAGAGTCGTGGAATAATCTTACTAATATTATAAATGTGAAAGTTTGTGTGTTTGTTTGTTTGAAGTTCAATCCCGTTTAAATACTGGTCGGATTGGGCTGAAATTTGGTATGATGATAGCTCACGTCTTCGATTAACATATAGACATATTCTTATTTCAAAAATTCTTTCGGGCTCTGCCCCAGTGGTTCTGAAGTTTCCCATGTTAACCTTATGATCATTCATATTTAAAAGGATTTAAAGAATTTAGTCAGCTGTTTCAACTACACAAGTTGGTTCTATGATATTCAATAACATTATAAAGTTATAAAGTTTACGAATAGGGTGCAGCACTATTAACTTATTTCAAAAAACTGTGATACACAATGAGAACTTTATTTTTCTATTGTTTAGGTGCAGTGGTAAAGCATTGTAGCTATGGTAGCTGTGCTATGCTAGTATTACCGTAAATTAAAAGAACCAAATTTTCTTAAAACGTGGCAAACGCAAAGCACGAGTATAACTGCAATATCAATTTTATGCTTATACGCCAACCCCGTACCAAGGACGTGTACTCTGCTAGTAATTTATATAATAGTAAGATTAATGTTATGAATAAATGTAGAAAAATATGGTATTTCAACTCTGCCATGAGACTTATATTCCAAATTCAGGTATTAAAAATGGCAATAAGAAATTAGTGCTGAGAGAAAGTATTGCAAGTTCTAAAACCATTTTTAGAACCATAACGCCAACGTCACAAACTAGAGGGTAAAATTCCGGCCGCGAACTTTTGAGTTTCGCGACATCAGCTCGATGGATTATACGCGGAATTAAACATGTATTTTCACGGTTGTGAATTTAATCAGAACACATCAAATTATAAAAACCTAGAGTGTACGGCCCGGATTTTTACCCCGTAATTTTACCCCCCGGATTTTTACACCCGGAATTTTACCCCCTGGCCAGATATATAAATTAGTAAGAATGATTAATTATCTTCATTCTGTTTTAATTTAATAGTCAACATTTTATTGAGCGGAGCGAACGAAGCGAGCGAAGCTCTTATACGTCGACTCTTTTGCATTTCGTAATACGCAAACTCCTCCTAGACGGCTGAATCAATCGTTTTCAAATTTTGCATTGTGATAATGACCATATCGGTGAGTGCCAACATCTATATGGCGTTAAAAAAGTCTCTCAGGAATCCGCCCCACTGGGTCTCAAAGTTTCAATGTAATCCTTATGGAAGCAGTATATGACACATAAACAAAGACATATGATCAGCTGTTGACTTTTGAATGCAGAAGATACAAAAATAGCTGATAGCATTATTCCACAGATATTAGAACAGAAACTGTATGGATCATAAATATAATCAAATGACGACACTAGCTTGAGGTCCATGACGTAGGAAGTGGCGAAGGAAGTAGTCATAAGGTGAGCAGTCTGGAGTGTGGAAACTGTTTAAGACGATTAGATTAAGGTAACTGCGTTCCCAAAATGCTGTTGGAAGGGAAGGAAACAGTTCGCGACGTAGGAAGTGGTAAAGGAAGTAGTAAAGGCAAGCAGTCCGGACTGTGGAAACTGTTTATGACGATTAGATTAAGGTAGCTGCATTCCTAAAATTCTATGGGAAGGGAGGAAAACCGGTCCGCAACGTAGGAAGTGGTAAAGGAAGTAGTAAAGGCGAGCTGTCCGGAGTGTGGGAACTGTTTATGACACTTAGATTTAGGTAGCTAAAATCTTAAAATGCTATGGGAAGAGAGGAAACAAGTCTGAGACGTAGGAAGTGGTGAAGGAAGTAGTAAAGGCGAGCTGTCCGGAGTGTGGGAACAGTTTATGACACTTTGATTAATGTATCTACAATCTTAAAATGCTATGGGAAGAGAGGGAAACAGGTCCCCGACGTAGGAAGAGCCAAATGAAGTAGCAACGTGAGGAGTGTGGAGTGTGGGAACTGGAAACCGTTTGTAGCAGTTAGATTAATGTATCTGCAATGCTGAAATGTAATGAGAAGGGAAGGAAACAGGCCCCACGACGTAGGTAGTGGTGGAGGGAGTAGTAAAGGCTGGCACTGCATAGTGGCGGAACCGTTTGGGTAGTTAGATAAATGTATCTGTAATAGTTAAATGATATGAGAAGGGAAGGAAACAGGTCTATGACGTATGAAATGGAAAAGGAAGTAGTAAGGCTTGCAGTGCAGGTTTGCAATTTAATTCCGTTTAGTAATGTCAATAACATGACTGAAACAAAAGTTGTAATATTTTTTGTAACATTGTATTTAAGAGAATGTGGTGTTATCCATTTTTAACAAAAGTATGTGTTAGCAATGCAGATCGCATAGAGGTGTAACAAGTTTCATATCAATTTCCGTCCGGAAGCTTTATATCGCCTAGAAGTTGGAGCTCGTCTTGTGAGGAAAATGTGAGGCCAATCCACGCAACAGATTAGGCACTCATCGAAATATAATGTAATAAATCCAACAATAAATCAATCAATAATGCAACAATCAAGTAACAAATCCGGTACTAATCAACAGCATCAATATGGATAGCATCTAATAAAGCTATCAACAGATCAAGCGACAAACAAGTCAGTTACTAGTCACGAAGCAATCGAAATTTTGTTTTCAACTACCACCAGTGCAACAGACAAATTAAAATTGCAACAAGCAGTCTGGAAAATATCCCAACAGAATTGTATTACTATTGATCTAGTCATACAAATATATAAAAGGGTTTTTATTAGTCTAATTATTCGTATTGTGTATTGTGTGTTTTTCTTTTTGTGAAATCAATGCATGTCTTGGTATGTTTACTCAACCTATTTCTATATATTGTTATTGAAGTTTAATAAGAGTACGATTCACAAGGATGCGACCGATCCATAATAGACTAATTGAAATGTGATCTGTTAATTCACTAAAATTGACGATTCTCAATTTTTTTTTACATAAAAGTTTCATTCGTACTTTTACATTT